TTCAGTGAGCAGCGAAAGATGGAAGGAAGCCTTGCTCAGTCCTGTACCACCCCACACTCAAGATCTCTGCGCAGGCCCCTGGTTGCAGTCACAGTCTGTCCTACTTGTTGAAGGTCTTCCTCTCTTCAGCAGCCCCTCTACCTTACCACGTGCATGAATTCCTTCTCCGGAGACCAGCCCCACTTCTTGATGACATGGCCAAAGTATGTGAGACAAATCTTGCCATCTTTGCTTCTAAGGAGAACTCATCACGTTCAACAAGAAAGGCTGTGGCATCCGCATACCACGGGTTGTTGATGAGACTTCCATTCTGATGCCACATTTGCCTTCCTGTAGCCCAACCTCTCACATCTGCTCAGCAGATGGATTGAATAGGTACGGAGAAAGAATTCAACCCTGACATTTACCTTTCCTGATTTCAAAATGTGCAATACTATAGTGCCACTGTTGTAAAACAGGACTGACATCAGGGTTGGGGGGAGACTGAGAAAGATGGGACAAATAAGGTATACTGCATTGAAACAGATGAGGGAGAAAACTGTTTAAAAGGGATATATGACTATTATTGTCATGACAGGAGTCCAGAATGAAGGCGGCACAGTGGAGTGGATTTGGAGGGAGGGATTGTAAAACAATAGGGGAACTTTTACTTTTCAAAGAGAAGAGTGTACTGGGGGGAGGGCTGGGCAGGGAGAAAAGTGCAACAATGAATGAACGGAAATCCAAAGTCTGTAAATTTTCATTAAAATTAATAAAAAAAATGTGCAGTACTTACTTATTCTCTCTCAACGACTGCTTCCTGGCCCATACACAGCTTCTGCACAAGTATAATGAAGTGTTCTCTAATTCTCTTTCTTCTTAATGTCATCCATAATTGATTCTGATCCACACGGTCAAATGCCTTTGCGTAGTAAAGAAATCTTTCTGGTATTCTCTGCTTTCAGCTGAGATTCTTTTGTTGTTGTTAAGTGCCTTCCAGTCGACTATGACCCACGGAGACCCTATGAACAATAGTTCTGACCCTCAGTGATCCTGTACCCTCCGTATGCTCTGTCAAGTTCAAGTCCATTGTAATAGCCACCTCGTCAATCCATCTTGAAAGTCTTACTCTCTTTTGCTGACTTTTATTGTTAGATGTCATCTAATCGAGCACAACTCATAGTGACCCTGTGAACAGTAGATCTGAACCCTGCCCTATCCTGTGCCATGGTCACAATCTCTGACACACTTGAGTCTACTGCTACAGTCACTGTGTTGCCCCAACCAGTGAGGATCTTCCCCTTTTTCACCAAACCTCCCCCTTTCCGAGCATGATGTCCCTCTCCAAGGAATAGCTTCTCTTAGCAACATGCTCAAAGAATGCAACATGAATCTGTATCACCTTTGCCTCCAAGGAGCATTCAGACTGCATCTTCTCCAAGACGTATTTGTTTGTTCTTTTGACAACCCATGGGATATTCAATACTCTTCTCCAGCACCACAGTTCAAAGACAAAGACATCAATTCTTCATCCTTATTCATCATCCAGCTCTCAGATGCATAGCAAGTGATTGAAAAGACCACGGCCTGAGTCAGGCACATCTTAGTTCTCGAACTGACATCATTTCTCCTCTATTATTAGGAGAGGTCTCCGACCGCAGACTTTCCCAGTGCAGTACGTCTCCTGATCTCCTTGACTGCTGGTACCAAGGGTGCTTAATTGTAGATCCAAGTAAGTTAGCCTGTTAAAACCCACACCCACTGCTTTAGCATGGGCTCATTGGGCTTCCAGGCAGTAAACTGTTATGGGAGGAGCCTGTCTAGATTTCTCTTTCAGAGGCTGATGGATATGGTGTCATGTTGCCAAGATTTAGAGCGATCAGGTGTCAGGTAAATATTGACTAGAATTATCAGAGAAAGAGAAGGAGGGAGGAAAGAAAGGAGAGAGAGAGGGAGAGAGAGAGAGGAGGAGGAGAAGGAGGAGGAGGAGGAGGAGGAGGAGGGAGGGAGAGAATGGGAGTAGGGGGAGGGGAAGGGATGGGGTGTGCTGGCGAAATGGTTTGAGGAGACAGAAAGTGTGGCCTGGACCCCAAATATGCAGTGAAACCATCCACAGAACCGTCAAAGCTGGGACATTTCAAAAAGGATCAACCAGAGGGAATCATTAGAGAGGCCTCAGGGTGAATTCAGTTGTCAAATTTTCATCTAATAGTAGAAAAAATATTTAAAGAAAATGAACTCTGTATGCCCTGTATTTTATTAAAAACTGCCCTTTTCAATTCATAGGCATCATATGGTACAGGATAGAGATACCTCTTTAAGGTTTCCTAGGCTGTTACCCATAGGACAGGGTGACAGCTTCCAGTTGGATTTGAATTCCTGACCTTTCAGTTAGCAGCCCAACACCTAACTCATGGCACCACCAGTGCCCACTGAGCTATTCACTTAGGAGAACAGAGACATCGTTCTGGGTTGTGTGGGCCGACCCTCGAAGAGGGTTTTCAGAGGCAATTAATCCCATGGGAGGAAATTGCCCGTCCTTCTCCCCAGGAGCAGCTGGTGGATTCAAACTGCGAACATTAAGGACTGCAGCGCCGCTTCTTACCAGAGCTCCCTTAGCTCTGGAAAGGACACCTAATATAAACTCCTTGACCTGTCTGAGAGTCCGGTTCTCGACTCTGTAGAGTGGAGATAGGTTTTACTGGGAAGGCCAAACATGCCAACAATGTGTAGCAGCGTTCACTGATTTTCTTCCCTGGATCCGCAATTGTGGATAGAGGCTGCAGGCATGAGGCACCCTAGTCCCCAGGAGCGACTTTGGAGAGGGGAGACCGAGGGTCCGCAGGAGGGGGACAGAGCCCTGCTCCCCGAGTGCGGCGAGAGAGCAGCTGCAGCACCAGCAGCGCGCCACCGCCCCCAGGTGGCCATGGTCGGTACCACGTGCACGGAAAAGGAGAATCCAAGTTCAAGCCCACACGTAACGCTCGAAGAGCAATCCTTCACATTTTTCCTCACTCTTTCCCTTTTTTCCTCCCAAATTCTGCATCTCAACTCTAGATATCGCTGCCGGAGTTAACACGGGACCATTTGCAACCCAGGCAGCCGGTGTCGATGTCAGGCATGCGCAAGTTTACAGGGGCGGGACTCAAGTGAGTGCAAGGCGCCGGCGTCATCAGACTAGTATAGCCTGAGAGCAAAGAGTTCTAAGAGGGAGGTAGCGTGGCCGAGTGGTCTAAGGCGCTGGATTTAGGCTCCAGTCATTTCGATGGCGTGGGTTCGAATCCCACCGCTGCCACATTCTTTATAATCTAACGATCACTTGGCCATTTTTTCTTACCAGGCTTTTTTTTTTTTTTAAAACAAAAAAGAAAATAAATGGAAAGGAGAAGGAAAAAAAAACCTCAACGCAAACTACATACTCATTTCGTTTGTGCACCAATTTCCCTTACTGAAGCCTTGCTAAATACCCAACTCTTGGAAACTTAGGGCGACAGGGAATGTCCTCTAAAGCTAACCACGATCTGAGCTAAGGAGCTCCACTTTCTGGCCCGCTCGGGTGTCAAGTGAATTCATGCAGAGGTCAAGCTTTATGTCCGAGTTTAAGACTTAATCTTTCAACTTCACCGAGTTCACCAAAAGCATTGCCTTCGAGCCATAGTCGATTCGATGCACCTACTCCCGGTTTCCAAGCTATAAACAGAGCGGGAAGGAGATTCCTCACCTTTCTCTCTGGGAACCGCTATTGGATTCGAACCGACAGAGAGGCACCGCCTTCTGGCACAATTCTCTCGGACTACGTCAGCATTCATTCATTCATTCACTCAATAGCTACGGAGTAATGAACTATCTGCCAGAAACCAAACTGGGACTGGAGGCGATAGTAGAGAATAAGGCAGACACGAGTTCATGGACATTATAATATAAATTAACATCTGTGATGCGTGTTACTCAGTACCTAGTCCAGGGAATCCAAGAAGTGGGATTAGATGAGCTGGGATTGAATTGTTGAGCGATTAGCCAAAGTGAAAAGGGAGCAGTTCTAGAAAGATGAAGAAGTGGATGGAAATAGTTATGTTGAATGCGGTTAAAATGCTTGGTTAAAGACGGGGAAATATCCTTTCAAGTTTATGACTTATGGCTAAAGGAGTCATCAATGACCTCCATGAAAGCCATTTTGCAACGGTCAGGAAGCGTGGACGAACAGAAAGCGGGCAAGGTCAGGTTCGAATTCTGCGAGTTGGGCTAGACCGCATCCAGAGGGAGGAGCAGGGAGTCTCTGAGGTCCAGTGTCCTGAAGGTGAAACCAAGCCGTGGTGTGCAGGTGCCATCTGGGGAAGTCCAGAACTGGGTAGAGGCCGAAAGAAGCCCCTTCATGGACGGGGCACGAGTTCAGAAGAGCAAGCCAGACCACCGGGGGAGGGAGGCAGAAGAAATCCAAGTCCACAGGGAGTAGGGGCAGAAAAGGGTTCTGGGGGGCGGGGAAAGGACGGGTCCACGTCCAGAGGAGGAGTGCAGGGCTTGGGGGCGGGGAAGAGGCGGGTCCACTCCCAGAGGGAGGGGTACAGGATCTGGAGGCGGGGAAGAGGTGGGTCCACGCCCAGAGGGAGGGGTGCAGGATCTGGAGGCGGGGAAGAGGTGGGTCCACGCCCAGAGGGAGGGGTGCAGGATCTGGAGGCTAGGAAGCCTGGAGGCTAGGAAGAGGTGGGTCCACGCTCAGGGCGAAGCAGCGCCTGGGGGCGGGAAAAGGGCGGGTCCACATCCATAGGGAGGAGTGCAGGGCCTGGGGGCGGGGAAAAGCCGGAGCTATGCCCAGAGGCGGTGCACGGACAGAACAGGCTGTGAGGAACAAGGTTTGGTACAGTCCAGGTGCAGAATAGAAACGGACGTAGGGGCTGGGCAGGGTCTACTCCCAGAGGACCGTGAAATGGCCAGGTAGGGCTCAGGGGGCGAGGCAGGGGCAGTCCCAAGTCCAGGAGGGCGGTGCATGGTCCGAGCTGGATCCAGAGGGGAGGCCGGGGCCGTCAGCGGCGCTCCCGGGCGGCCCCCAGGGGCTGCAGTTTCAGGAGGTGCAGGGCCAGGCCCAGCAGGACCAGGAGCAGGAACAGTCCGAGCAGCAGCCGCAGGAGCGTCCGCGCCGTGGAGCCGCGGGGCCGGCTGGACGTGGCCTGCACGTAGCGCTCCACGGCTTCGGCGAAGGTGAACTTGTCCGGTGCGTAGCCGAGTTGAGCGCGGGCCTTGGCGATCTGGAAGGTGTGCGTCACGGCCACGCTGCGCACCTGAGGGGACAGGCAGGGCAGCCAAGGAAAAGGACTCAGGGGCAGGGACCAGGCGCAACCTTCACCGACTTAAAGGACTCGTGCGCCCTCTTCTCCCATCTCCATCTCCCCGGAGGGCGCCGCCTCCCCATGCCATTGCATCTCCCCCACCCCACTTCTGCACGCCTCCCCCTGGCCTGGAATTGCCAGGACTCCGAAGGCCTTTGACAGTAGCTGGGTGCGGCCCTGGGGGGGGGGCGGCGGGGGAACCCAGCTCTGGCAAACATCTTCAGCTTCCTGCAAAAATTCATTGCTAGCTGTCAAAGTCAGAACCAACTTGTATTATAACTGACTCTCCAATGGATTTCCAAAGCAGTAGATCGAATGGGAGGAGATTGCCCACCTTTACTCTTGAGGACCCCTTGGTAGATTCGAATCTCCAGAAAAGTGGGAATTTTAGGTTAGCACTGCAACTCCCTCCAGAACCATGCGAGCTCTCTCCAGCCAGCAATCAAGTAGTGTTAAATGAAAGGCTTCAACGTCAACCCAGAGGACTGGTTTTTGTGTCTCAGAGTGACCAGCCGAGGGCGCTCCGACATAGGCCAGAGCACACAGCTGACGAAGCTTCTTTGCCCCTGAACTGTTAAGGAGACCTGCAATTTAGGCAAGAAGGGAAGGAGCCGCGTCTCTGCAGGATCCAGTACAGATAAGCTATGTGTTAGCAACTCTTCTACTATTTGGGTGTCATTCCCGAGTTAGTTTACAAGCTGGTGAAATCTTTGCGATTTGGGCCCATTTTCCCACCGCACTTCTGCTCCACACCTGTTGGCTATATTGGACTTGAAGTGGATTCTATGTCATATCAATAATGTCACCTGAATCAGTCATTGACCTCTCTAGTGTTCTAGTTTCTCAGTGTAGCAAGAACCTCAGATTTTTTCCCCGTCTTAAGTTAGGGGGCTGAGTCTCTTGGAAGTGACACCAGTGACTATTAACTGAAAAGCTAGAGGTTTTCATTCAGAAGTACCCTGGAAGAAAGGCCTGGCAATCTTTTTCTGAAAAAAAAAATCAGCCAGTCAAAACTCCATGGAGCACAGTTTCACTATAATACACATGAAGTTGCTATGAGCTGGAATAGACTCAATGGTGATTGGAAATTTAGGGGGCGTCAGAGCCTATAAAAGAGATAAGAGACTTAGAAGTGTCTTGCAAATAACATCATCAATACTACTCATTGCTTTACTGTTTACCATCTGCACTAAAATATTATCTCTTTTAAACTTCATTATTATAAGTTGATTCTATTTGGAAGCAGGACTGGCATCCACTTCCTAAACAACATGTCTATGTCGATAAATGCCAATAGTTGTCGAGGGGCTTCAGGCCTTTTGTTCATAGAGTTGCTATGAGTCATACTTGACTCGAAGGCAATCAATACAACAACATTATAACTGGAAGTTAGCATTGTGTACGTTGTACGCAGGGTGCTCTGGTGGCCTAGTGGCAAGAAGCTGTGCTGCAGTCCCTAAGGCATGAGGTTCGAGACCACCTGCTGCGCTGCAGGAGAAAGATGGGCAATCTCCTCCTGTGTGATTAACTGCTTCTGAAAACCCACTGGAGGGTCAGCTATGGGTCGGTTCGGACTCTATGGTATACAACACCACACTGTATACAATAGTTACGTTGTAGTTACTACTTCAAAGTAAAAAGGGGTTTATGGCCTATTGGGTAAGGAGTTGCACTGCCAACTCATGGGCAGATAGTTCAAATACACTATTTGCTTCAAAGGAGAAAGATGGGCAGTCTCCTCCCATGTGACTTACAACCTCTGAAAATCTGCTGATGGGTCAGCTTGGAGTCAGTTCTGATCTGATGGCACATAATAACTCACAAGTCGTAATAATAATAGAGCCTAGCACCACCAGGCTGTGTATAGATGGATTGAGAGCTGGTGAGATTTGGTGACAAGTGGCAGAGCTAAAGAAATGAATGTCACAAAACCTGCCTTTGGGAATCTGCAGTATGAGAATATATGAAACGACATAAACTGCTTGGGACTGAGATGACAACAAGGAGAGCTGGGTCTGAGCACACCCAAAGGGCACAAACTAATAAAAAAGCCTAGACAGAGGTTAGAGTGATTCCAAAGGAGCCAGCATCAGGTTTGGGCCCACATGGTGCTACAGGGGTGAAGGGTCGAGGTGGTGGAGGTATAGGGAAGGGCAGGGGTTAGGGGCTTCCAGGGCAGCCAGCCCACTTACCTCACTGCGGGTGAGCAGCGGTGGGATGCTGCAGAGGGGCCTGAGGGCCAGGTGCAGATACTCCATCAGCGTGGCTGTGCAGGAGAGAGGAGCCAATGACCACGTGCTCATCTGTCCCTGGGGGCGCCTGGCGCCTTGATAAAGCATTTAGGGACAGGATTCCATTTGCTAAGGCAGTCTTCACTTTTGCAATAATTTGTTGTCATTGGATTACTTTAAATCACTTCTCAGCACACCCTGGGGTGCTTTGTTGGCTATGAAATGCATCACAGCAACTTAATATTAAAGGTTGGAGTTATTAAATAAATCTGAGCAGATTCAAAGTTATTGCTATGAAGTTTCTCTCTCAGTGGCTTTTATTGCAATATGTGCTTTGGAGTAAGGAGCTTGGAGCAGTGGTTCTTAAAGTGGGCTGCATCCTGGACCACATTAACAAATACTGATGTCATCCCACTTTTCAGCTTCTGATACAGTTGGCCTATGGTGTAGCTGGGAAATGTGTGTGTGTGTTTTGAAAATATTTCTTGTGTTTTCATTGAAAGTATACACAGCAGTTTAGTTTTCCATTCAACAATTTCTAAAAATTAATTGACATTGCTAACATTCTTCACAATGTGTGAACATTTTCATTATTTCTATTCTAATTGTTCTGTTTTTATTAATCTAGTTTCCCTGCCCCTTATTTTTTTTTCATCTTTTCACAAAGTTTACTACTGTTTTGTCTCATATAGATGAATTTTCAAAGGAGCACAGTACCCCTGGATAATATTCTTTATTTTGGAGCCATTCTGTTATGCCCTCAGGGGTTAGTTTTTGGTCCAAGGCTTTAAGAGTTTCTCTTGGTGATAGTCTCGGGGGAGTTTTCTAGTTTCAAATGGTCCAGTTTATCTAATTGGATTTTTTTAAGAGTATGTAGACCGTCTTGTATTTTCCTTCAATTATAATAGAATCTATCTAATGATTATTTATCTAGCTTAATGGTTGGTAATGGAGCTGGGTACCATCTAATTTTAGTCTTGAGATAGATAAGGCCATTATTTGTGTAGACTGTTAGAACTGTAGACTAGTTTCTTCTCTAAGTCCTGGATTTCCTTACTTCTCTTGTGCTCTGGACAAGTGGATACTGATAGCTGAATCTTAGATGGTCCCTTGCACACTTTTTTTTTGGCCTGGGGTGGTTTGCATGTTGCTGTGATGCTGAAAGTTGTGCCACATGTATTTTAAAACCCATAAGGGTCACCTAGATTGGTGGCCAAAGGCACGCAGTTCGAATCCATCACCTGATTTGCAGGAAAAAGATGGCCAATCTCCTCTTGTACAATTCATAGCCTCTGAAAACCTACAGCTTCCAGATGCAGACAGACTAGGAAGCAGGACTGATGTCTAGTCTTGAAATGATGGGCCATTGAAAACCCTTATAACAGCAGCTGATCATTGTCTGATGTAGTGCCAGAAGGTGAGCCTGGCAGGCTGGAAAACACTCAGCACATGAGTGGGAAAGAACTGAGTCCTCAAAGCAGTAGCTGTTGCTAGGTGCTGTCCAGTTGACTAAGACTCGCCACGGCCAGTGAATGAAATGGGAATCCTGCCCTACCCTGCACCTGCCTCACAACCCCCCATATGGTCGAGTCCACTGTTACAGTCACTGCATCAAACCTTCTTTCTGAGGGTCCTTAAAGCAGAACCTTCCTTACTGACATGACAACAATGAATTTAAGGCAGCAGAAGCTGTGGAGATGGTGCAGAATTAAGGAGCATTTGTTTGGCTGTATATATGGTTCTTATGTTGTGGTGTTGGAAAAAGGTACTATCCCATGGACTGCCCAAAGAACAAAGAGCTATGTCCTAAGGGAAAGTGCAGCCAGCGTGCTCCTTACAGACAAGGCTGGTGAAGCTTCACATCCCATACTATTGGCATATTTTTTGGAAAGGGACATAATGCTTGGAAAGGTGGAAGGTCAGTAAAAGAGAGGAAGACCCTCAAAAAGATGGAGTGACACAGTGACCAGCAATATATGTTGGAGATGATGAGGATGGCACAGGATAGGACAGGGTCCAGATCTGTCAGTCGTTATGAGCTGTAGTCAAGTGGACAGCACCTAATGACAACTAGCATGAGTTGAATACAACTTGACGGCACGTCTGGGCACAGCATTTCAAGGAAGCCCTCCCCCTCCCCCTCCCACTTCCAGGCTATGCAAGTATAGACTCAGGCTCAGAGTAACTTGACTGCCTCACTCTAGTGCCTTCCTGAGTTTGAAATACATCAATATTGGACCACCTGGCACACAGAGGGCTTTTAATGCAGGGATGCCTTTTCTTACCTGTCATGTAAACCAAAGAAGTGGGCACCTGGATCCAGGGCGGGCTGTACCCCAGCTTCTCAAACTGTAAGGCAACATGATCTGAGATGAGGACAGATTCTTCAGGATCTGGTGTGGAAGGGCACGTGCTTCTTTTGTCCCTGGGACCAGTGTGGACATCTGTCTCCTGACCCACTGCTCACTTCCCCATCGTGGCTGACCCTCCATCCAACTGAAAGCTTGACCCGGCCTTGAAATGAAATCTACACAGTGCCTTGGAAAACCCATGCGGGAAATGAATGTGTTTGGGGTGGGTTCAACCACAACATACCCCAAAGAGTCCTGGTGGCACTGGGGTTAAGCAATTTGATAACCAAAAGGTTGGCAGTTTGAACCCACCCACTGCTCCACTGTTGTGAGACAGATGGGACAGTGTGAATCCAGGAAGGTTCCAAGTTCAGAAATCCTATGGAGCAGTTAGCCCCTGTTCTAAAGGGTTGCTATGAGTTAGAATCAATTCAACAACAATCCTCTTTTTTTCCCCCCAAACACGCAAAGATTCTCCAAATAATTTATATGAAATCTTAAATCTGGAAAAAAAAATTTCTAGAATTGGCTTTTCTGCTCTTAAAGAGAAAGCACAGCATGTGCATGGAAGGAGGTAGATGATGGATGTGTGCATATGTGGGGTGGCACAGTGTAAGGGGTGGTCCTCACTTATAGTGTATAGAATGGGGGGCCCCTCCCCCTCCAAAAGGTATGTCTACATCTGTCCTAACTCTTACGGCCTTTTGGCAAAGGGTTTTTTGCCCCCTGAAGTAATGAAGTTAGAGATGTTGAGACAAGTTGATCCTGGATTAGGTAGACAGTTCAGTGACATATGGCCTGAGACAGGAGAGAAGAGAAAGCCCTGTGAAGTGATGATGACTTCCCAAACCAAGAAACATTTAGAGTCACCAGAAACTGAAAGAGGCAAGAAACAGATGATCCCCTAGATGGGACCCCACCCTGCTTACACCTTGTTACTGACTTGTGACCCCCAGAACTCTGCAAGTGAATAGATCTCTGTTGTTTCAAGCCACCAGTTTTGTGGTCATTTGTTACAGCAGCCACTGGAAACTGATACACACTTGTATTAAAACTGTGATCAGGGAGCTCTGATGGCTTAGTGGCAAGAAGCTGCGCTGCAAACCTAAAGGTACATGGTTCAAATCCACCAGATGCTCCACTGGAGAAAGTGGGACAATCTCCTCCTGTGCCAGTCAGATCTAATTCAATGGCACACAACAAGGAAAACACACACACACACACACACACACACACACACACACACACAAAACAAACAAAAACCCCCACAAAACTCTCTGGGTCAAAAGAAAGGCCTTATTAACAAAGATCTGGAGAAACTGGAATCCTTATGCACTTTAATGGGAATGTAAAATGATACAACTACCTTGGAAAACAGTGTGAAGGCTTCTCAAATAATTAAGTCTAGAATTATCATAGGATTCAGCAATTTTACTGCTAGCTATAAACCCAACAGAAATGAAACTATATGTCCCTACAAAAACTTGTACACTAATGCTCACAGCAGCATTATCTATAATGGCCAAGAATTGGAGAAATACAAATGTTCATGAACTCATGACTGTATAAATGAAATATGCTATAGACTTAGAGTGGAATGGACTATTTTTTGGGTAATACAAAGGGCACATGCCATACACATGTGGTCTTAAAAGCTTGCAAATATTCATCCAAGGTACAACAATTGCTTTCTATTCACCAGGAGCAACAGGGATAAGGAGAATCAGGAATAAAAAGACATGAAATGTGGGGCTAACTGCCTCCTTCTCCATAATTGGATGGTGCTTGGAAACCACCATTGAACATTTTGATAAAGGATTCCATACAAGAATTTCGACCAAAGGAGGAGCAATGCAAAACACAGTCTCAACATTCTCATCAGTTCTCATGAGGAAGCTGGATGAAGTGCCCTGAGAGAATCTTTAAAACTTAAAACCAAAAATATCTCCAGAAATTATCTTAAATCCAAATAATTAATTGTTGTTGTTGTTGTTATGTGCCGTCGAGTCGTTTGCGACTCATAGCGACCCTATGCACAACAGCCCTAAACCCTGCTCTATCCTGCGCCAACCCCACTGCCTCTGACACACCCATCCCGA